GTCGGAGTCGGAGTCGGAGTCGGAGCAGGAGCAGCAGCAGCAGCAGCAGCAATCGCAATCGCAGTCGCAGCAGCAGCAGCAGCAGCAGCAGCAGCAGCAGCAGCAGCAGCAGCAGCAGCAATCGCAATCGCAGTCGCAGCAGCGGTGGCAAGAGCATTAGTAGCGTCGTCGTCCTCGTCGTGTCGTCGTGGTATTGTTACCAGTAGTTCCATTAGTAGTGACTAGTAGTGATGATGCTCCTAGTAGTGGCCGCATGTTTTTTTTTGGGGTTGTGGTTGTTGTTGTTGCTGTGGCTGTGGCTGTGGCTTTGCTTGTGGTTGTGGTTAGGGTTGTGGTGGTGCCGGCGGTGGTGGTCGTCTGTGCCGGCGGCTTCGACGACAAGACGTTCCTTGTCGATTTTCTTGCATCCAAGGCGGCTTCATTTTCCCACTTTCGATATTTCAGAATCAGGTGTAGGCCTCCGGGGTGAGAATGAGGATTTTGAGTGCAAGGTGTGGTTGGGAAGTGTGAGCGCCTGGCTTTTGCATCGGATTCCGGGTATGGCAGCATTGGTTGCCGGTTCAGCGCCGAAGAAAGCATGGCGCACTGGCAAGGACAGGGGAGTATCCGCCCGGAAGGGCGAGGCCAGCCCCAAGAGCTGAGTCTCAGCCCGAGCATCTCGGGCTTCACCTCCGGATCCCTCAAGGGGGCCTGGGCGGATAACGCACGCTTTCCAGTCCCGACGCCAACCCAAACACCAGCCCGAGAGCACAACCCTTCATTCCAGACCCCTTTTGAATGAGGAACTTAAGATAAAACCTGGGCTCGATGCTGCAGGTAGCCCGAAGTTGGTTCTACAGCACTGGAGAAAACAGATGTGTTTCAACGCTCGTACCTGTAGTCTGCACAATGCGAGTACTGGTTTGGCCATTGTGACGAAGTGTTGGGGACCGGAAGCTGAAATTCGCGTGCACGGTTGTCTCAATGCTTATACATGTCTTGTCGGTTTCCCGAAAAGCAAATTGACATGCGTAAGAATTTGAAGATCGTTTTGTCACTCTTGCCCACGGTAGTATTCCAGATCCCTCGCCATCCTTGTACAGATGCGGGCAGGATCGCATGCAACAGACATTGCGGCAAAAATGCAGTGTTGGGAATGTCACTGCTTCGTAGGCAGGAGCCCAACAATCATGTAGACACATGCATCTGTAGCTCACGATAAGCGTTTCATTGCGAAGTATTTCTCCCTGGGCTGCACTACACCTAGAGTGCCCGAAACTCTAGACCAGGAAGTGATGGTGAAGAGAGCATCAAGCTTGATCGACAGATGCTCTGGTATAGTTGTTAGCCGTTGGGAGAATCTGGTGGAGGTTGATTGATGACATAGAGTCTTGAGAGCTGTGTCACTGCATGGTGAATCAACCACATTCGAGTGATACCTCTTTCCTGAACTAGTTGTCGTTGTGATTCGTGCGTGTCTGCTGGGTCCAAGAGCCAATTTAGCTCCGGTAGCTCGGGCAGTCGGCAATCTGCTGTTTGAACTGGCCCGTGCTGGAGGCACAGCTATGCGCAGCTTTCGTGGGGTTTTGCAAGGTCCTGGGCTGTGCATTTTCTCATCAGCATCGTGACTGCAAAGGTGACAATTCCAGATGGGGTCTTTGCGAGCGTTGCTCCTCTCAGCCGTTGTTGCCATTGTCTGTGCGGAGCTTTGGCCCGTCATCGCAAGCTCTACGCCTAGGCTGTGGTGTTTAGGGCTTAGGGGCTTGTTGTAGGTGCTATGGAGACTCATGCCTTTTTTTTTATTGGCGAAAGCGAAACTCCAACCTCAAGGACCAGGGCCGGGGAGCTGTCGACACCAATGAGAGCTACAATGGGTCGTACGACAGCAACGGATCTTACTACGACTACAATGGGTCCTACGACTATAATGGATCCTACGGGCCCTACGATTACAATGGGTCCTACGACTACAACGGATCCGGATACGATGATGATGGGCCGGGACACGATTATGACTATGATGGACCCGGATACGATTACAATGCATCCGGCGGTGCGCCCAAACCCATGTTTCATTTGTTGCAGCAGTGCTGATTTGCAGGCTTCTTTCTCGGGACAGGGTTGCTTCAGTGGCTCATCTTCCGTTCCCCGCCAGGCTACGGCTACTGTGCGGAGATGATGTGCACTAAGTTTAAATACGATGCGAACGGAGAGATTGATTGGTCAGCGGAGATGGAGACAACTTGCGCGTCCTACGAGGAGGGCTGTCCGTGCAACGAGGAGTGGGAAGTCTCCTGTGAGTCCTGGGGCTACAAGGCAGAGTCCCCCATCGCATCTCTCCTATGTGCAGCATGTGCTAGCTGCTAACAGCCATCTTCGATCGTCACCCAGAAAATCCAAAGCGTACAGAAATGCGAAGCTGTTTGTTAGCTTTCTTTACCATGGGCAGGTCTGCACACCGAAGTCCGAGGGGTTGCTCGGCTGCAAGATCCCGCTGCTGGCTTGCACAGCTTGGTTTAACCAAGGTGCTATGATCCCTTCGATGCGACATGCCACTTATGCGCACTTAGACTTCGAGAAACATCAATGATAGTGAGCTGTCGCATCATGCCATGGGAGGCGGGGGAAGGGCAAGGATGCAGCTCAGGTGACAATGCTACTGACTCTTGCAGCATTCGAGTGGAAGATGAGTAAGAGCTTGAAGTGTTCCATCAGCTGCAGCCATCATGCCGAATCTCAGGAGTATACTTGCCGAGACGAGTGGTCGGCCTACTGCTGGGACAAAGCATGGGGCGCATGTCCCATATTCTGCACGTCTAACGAGACGATGTGCTACACCTACGCCTACGATGCATCAGGAAGTCACAACCGGTTGGCGAGCGTCAGTTTGAGTTCCACCTACAGTAGTGAGATTCCTCCAATGTGGGTCGTACCTGCGCAGTTGACCTCACCCCTTCCTTTCCCGAGCCCAGTTTCGGGTCGGGAGTCAAGGTGGGTCATGAACCCATCAAAGATTGCCAGTAGAAGCAGCAAGAATCGCAGTGTTATGACAAGCAGACCATGCATGACCATCGCAACGATAGCCATAGCAATAACAACCGGCCCCCCCGAATGCCTCGCACCGACACTCAAGACCCTCCCTCTAAATCCTAATCCCCAACACAGTGGCCCCAACATCTGGAAAGTTCTTGAAGGAGAGGTTGATTGGATGAGCGACTACAACACGAGTTGTGCTCCACTGGCCGAGGGCTGCCCCTGCGTCTTGTGGCTGCGCAACCAGGGTTTTTAGGCGCAGTGGTGAAGGTTCAGGGATGTTTACGGGGGTTTAGAGTGCAGAGATGTTTGAAGGATTTAGCCATCAACGTCATCGTCACCACCACCACCACCACCACCACCACCACCACCACCACCACCACCACCACCACCACCACCACCAATATCATCATCATCATCATAATCATCATCACCACCATCACCACCATCACCATCATCACCATCATCACCAGCATCATCATCCCTGAATCAGCCTTTCGTCAGCTAAGAATCCGACCTGGGAGCAGAAGTGCACTGACGAATGGGGAAGCTGGTGCACATCGAAGCTGGATTCGTGCCCAATCTCATGCGGCGACGATGAACAGGCACAGCCCGACCAAGGGTTTGGGCATTTTGATTTCAGGCCGAGCTCTAGTACATGCTGAAGCGCGAGCACACTAAAACTCTGCGCCAGCACGAATACGGTTTTCGAAACGGGAAACACTCGAAACCTGGTCCGCTTTGATGTCAGGTCTGCTGGTCAACTCCTTACGGTAACGACGGCTATCCGGATTGGTCATTGCCAGGAAATCAGACGCACGGCCTTCAAAGGCATTAGGTCCTTAGGTCTGCTAGCAGAGGTCGCAGATCCATGTTGTTGGAATGTTCTCCTGCCACAATCCGTGTAGGAAGAGAGAGGTGCCATCCGAGGACATGCCAGAGTATGGACCAGCACTGCCCCTGCAACTCTGAGCACGAGGACCTCCGACCCCGAATTTCACGACAGACATCCCGAAGTTCCGGCAGATTTGAAAACCTCCCGGCGTGTTCTTCGCTGTCCCCGAAGTTCTTGCACGGGATGCGCAACCGCTCCCCCTTTGTGTAATCTCGTTGGAGGATCTCTGTGTGATGGAGTGGGGGTCCTACTGCCAGTCGAAGGTCTACGGCAGTTGTCCAGTCTCCTGTACGGCCGACCAGCTGCTCGGCTCCCGCTTTTCAGAACATGGCCGTTTTGCAAAAGAGCCACTTGGCACGAAGGTTGTACTGCTATGAGACGCCGTACGACGACAATGGGGAAATCGACTGGTACGGAACGTGGAAGGCCCCGGATTCCGTACGTATCTTGCCGCATGTTGAGCAGGAGAAAATCCAAGTGAGAGCGCCAGCAGCAGGACCAGTAGCACAGCAAGTGGAAGTGACAGCAACAATAATGCAGTAGAGCCAGAGCAGGACAACGAAGAGGAGGAGGAGCAGGAGGAGCAGCAAGAGGAGGAGGTGGAGGAGCTGGAGGAAGAGGAGTAGACGTGAGATTGGGTACGCGAAAAGAAGGCGAATACTGGCACACATTCAAAAAGTTGTGCTGGAGATGACACACACACACAACGCTGCCAACGAATGCTGGTCACCGGCAAACATGTTACAATTCTCAGGACCACGGTCATTCTGTTGCTGCGAAGAAGCTAGAGTGCTCGTGGCCAAAAGTAGGACAGTACCGTTCGCTCCGTGGGAGAGCACCGTGCTTTCGCTGTTGCAGGAGACCTGTGCAAATGCCACGGATGGATGTCCTTGCCACCCTGAGTGGGAGAAGTCCTGTGGTTCGGGCTGGTGTATGTCCAAGTTTGAGAACTGCCCAGTCGATTGCGGAGAATTCGAGACCTGCCACTTGCCTCGCTTGGACTGCGCGCTCCCATCCTAATCTCAATTGCTGAATCTCTTGCCAAATAGCCTCGGCTCAGTGTGTCAGGCTACCATTACATCTCCGGGAACGAGTCTTGTGCCACTGAAAGTGGTTGCGCGTGCGAAGACAACGAGCACGCATGCACGGAGCGTGCCGGGGTCTTTACAGGTTGTTGCGGGCACGGCCTTCGGTCCTTGCTAGTAGCAGGCTAGGCATTGTTTTGTGGCATGTCGTTTCGTTCGAGTTCCAGACTGCAGGGTCTATGGGCTGTAGCTGTCATCATAGTGGAATGGGCGGGACTTTAAGTGTCTGAGTGGCTTTCAGTCCTGCAACAGCGCACACTTTCTTCTGGCAGGAAGACGGGAAGCAACGCTGCTATCCCAAGGACGGTTTGCAGCTGTGTTTGAGTCTGCCTGCAGTAGCTGTTGGACCCAAGAAATTGCGACTCAGTGAAATCGGCTGTCAAGGACTGGTATAGCAGCTGCACTTTGTCTGACGATTTACTTGCAAGTTGATGAAGGCTGCTGCTGTGAGGTCCGTCGCTCATCTCAGGTCCTATAACATGCAAGGCCACGGAAATGTATTGCTCTGAAATAGGACGGGTCGCAGTCCTTGCCTGGGGGGCATTTGGCCAACTTGGCCCACCCGATGCCCTCAGGATTTGATGCCAATGGTATGATGACTTGGACAGACACTTGCGAACCTCAGAATCTGGCCATTGAATCAATAGAGTTTTCATTGGGTTGTGGTTGAAGCTGATTTTGTGTGAGTGGCTTAGACTCTCAACCGTGTTGAATCCTGAACCGTTTCTTAGCGGCAGCTTGGTCCCGGGCCAGGAATGATGACTGGTTTTGTCCCGTCGTCTGCACAGCCGACTCGGCGAAGAAGTGCGGCTCCGGTTTCGCTGCCTACTGCATTGCGGCCTCAGCACCTTGTCAACAGTAGTGTAGTCGCTAGAACCGGTAGGGTTTTCGGACGCTTCGGATTGTGGATCTGTGACTAGAGCTGCTGCGATTATGATTCTGCTTCCCCTGCTATTCTGAACGTGCTGCTGCGCTGTCATGATCGTTACGGTCAGTGCGCTTACTGTGCAATTGCTGTCGTCCTTATACTTGCTTGCAGAGCCGAGGACGATTTCTTGAGGATTGGTGGGCTTTAGGGCATGCAGGGTTTAGGTGCTTGTAAGACTTAGGGTTCTTATAAAGTCAAGCACGGCTCTCGACGTGAAGGTGTGTCTTGCATGGAAAACTAAATAGAGCACCGTGCAGCCCAGGATGAGTGTCCGCAGGAGTGTACCGACGAGCAGCAGGAGTGCTGGGTCACGGACTTCGATGCAAAAGGCACATAGCCAAAGTGCATCGACTGCTAAACGTCAAGGCGTTTTCACTTCTTGGATTGTCACGGCCCTTGTTGAGTGTCCAGGCAATTGGTTGTCCGCCAAAGACAAGTGCGCGCCAAAAGGGCAGGAGTGTCTGTGCGGAGAGAACGGCGTTAGATGCGCTCTGGCTCAGACAAGTACCCTTTTTCTTTGAGTGGAGGAGGCGCCGATTGTCTCTGCTGCACTGTTTTCTGCCCATGGCTGCAGGCAGATCAAATGGCTTCTCTTATTGCGAGGCAACATACTACGGCTGCCCGATAGAGTGTACAGCAGACCAAAAAGTCTGTTATCCGGTATCATACACACCGGAAGGAGACTATGCTGCTTGGCAGCCTTAGAGGCGCAGCATCTGTCCGTCAGCTAGAATGTAGAACCCTGCACAGCAGTCCTCCGACCGAGGATTGGGATGCTCCGATCAACGAGAGCTGTGTGGCACAGGACAAAACGTGCCCGTGCGGCGCCAATGCGAAGCTTTGCAAGTGGACAGACGACTTTGGTGCCGAAGAGGCCCGGCACCCGAACCGCAACCCGAAACTCCAAGCCCAAGGCTTTTGGAACTTCAGAGCTGATGGGGCCGAACCAACTCTGTTGAGGGTATGTCCGATTGGAATGCCAACGCGCTCTCTTGAAGCCCTGTGGCTGGCACCCTAAACCTGAACTCGCAATTTGGGGTTCTGCTCGCGAGCTAAGCCGCAAAACGATAAACCCCTGCACCCCAGAACACTCAAACCGTCCAGCACACTCCCCCCTCCACAGTATTCCAAAACCCAAAACTGACAAAAACTCCAATGTGAGGAGTACTGCGTTCCAAGCGCGGAATCCTGCCCTGTCACCTGCTCCAGCAGCCAAGAGAAGTGCTCCTCGGCTCGGCGGAGCTTTGACCAGGGCTCAATGTTCGCTTTGTGCAAGGAAAGTCTAGGGTTTTGGTTCCTGGTTGGAGTCTGTGCTTCGTTCTTGAGGGTTGGCTTCAGCTGGAAGGGCATGCAGTACAAGTGGCAGAAGCTAGACTGAAGGTAGTCAGAACAAGACTGAATCCGAGGCTAGGCCCGGTCCAGCATCTTTCCTGAGCATGTTTTGCAGGCTTCAAGTCGGACTACAACGCCACGGGCTATCCGACGAGCTTCAAGGAAACATGCGTTCAGAAGGCCTGGTTGGTGGCAGCCCTGAAGCAACCGCTAACTGGCAGCCGTGGGTGGCTTCGAGCTTTGATGATCCTTTCAGATGTACCGAGTCCTCTTCTCAGGTGTCGGAATTTCATGTTTCAGGCGGAGGTCTTGAGTTGGAATCCATTTTCCTCCGCTGTCGCCAGTTTGTCGAGTTGGTATTGGTGCCAGTTTTGCTTGCTCTGCTACGGTATCATGATGGACAAGTGTTGCCTCTGCCGTTGTCATATTTTTGTTGGTGTAGCTTTTGGCTCTTTTCGCTTGGTTCCCATTATTTTCACTGGGAATACCAAGTAGCAGCAGAGGTGCGGATTCTTGTCCTACCGTCTGTATTTCTTTACGATGTTCATTGAGTCCATCAGTATTGGTGTGGTGCTGTTGCAGGCAGTGCTGTGAGTGATATCGCTGGTATCATTCTGTTGTTTCAGGCAATGCGGTGAATAATAATGCTGATATTTTCAGTATTCTCTGAAGGATTGGTGCACTTCTTGTTATCATGATTCTGTGTTTATCCTTGTCGTTGATTGAATTCAGGACCGTTTACAGTTGGAGTTTACCCACGGCAATGTCACTGTTGCGGCTCTTCCTGCCAAACGTTCTTGCTGGTATTGGTGCTGTGGTGGTTACTGTTTTTGGGCACAATCGCTTTCATTGCTCCTTTGTGGTTTCTAAGGGAGGCCTAGATGCCCTTGATCATTTGCTTTAACATTCTGGTTTCTGATCACGATTACTGTCCCTCAGGATCACCCGGAAATGTCGACTGATGCGCTTTTCGCAGAGTGATAGTTGTTTGAAGCTTCGGACAGGGGACGCCATGCCCGTGCGGCACGCATTCGCAGAAATGTACGGATCCGTTCTTCGGAGAATCCTACTGCTACCCGAAGTGGGATTTCTGGTCACATGGCTGCAGAAGACTGGGTTTCTTTGGCTGCGGTGTCTTGTGTCACAGCTGGCATCTCAGGAGCAATGTGCGGCTGGATTGTCCAGTCTATTGCAAGGACAGCGAGAACACATGCTACATTCCCAGCTATGATGCGAAGGGGGATTGGATCAGCACGCAGGCGCTATCGGCAAATCACGCTGAGCCCGAAATCCTTAGACTTTACCGACTCGCCGCTCGTCTGAGGTCACCCCCTGCCATTTCACAGCACTGTGTGTGTGGTGCTACCAGCACGTGGCTACAGCGCAGCTGTTGACGATCGGAATCATGATAGTGACGATGGTGCCGATGCTGATGATGGTTGTGAGGTGATAGTGAAGACGATGACGTGCCAGGCGACAAGTACTGCGGCTACTGTTGGTATCATGGTCATGCGTCTGACTGCGAACCGTGTGCTGGGTACCAGCTGTCTTGTTTGTCGTGTCAGCATTTGTTGTTGAGACTAACACAGATAGTTTTCATGCTGTTGTTATTCAGATGGTTCATTACTGTCCATGATATTGCTTGCTTTACACTCCCAAACAGCTGTATCAGGAACATGGCTCGTCACTACGATGAATGTTGTTGTGACTACTACTCTAAACTTACGTGCGGGCTTCAAGCTAATTCTACTGATGTTTGAAAGAGTTTAGAATATTTGGTTCCAATAGGCAACAATTAGGACTTGTCAGTAGGAAAACATTAGGACCCAAATTGCCAAGCTCGGTTTGGAAAATAGTTAGGATAACAATAGGAAACACACAGGCTAGGAAAATCCCATTGCAGGTGCGAATCGTGGCCAGAGACGAGCCCGCGCCGCGAGCAACCCCCACCCCCCTCCGCACCCTCCGCACGCTCGGAGATCCGGAAAGTAAGCGATACCAGAAAAGACGAGAAAAATAGGACCAGCAAGTAGGACGAAGAATCAGGCCAAAAATTAGGTACAAAGGCCGGAACGAAGACAACAGAGCCGCACTTAGGGCAAGATTAGGAGCAAAAACATTAGGACCAACATAGGACATGATGCGAGCTCAAGAGGAACATCGTAGTTTTTCTTCGTAGTTGCTTTCTGTTTTACACTTTTTGTACGTAGTGTTTTTTTTAAAAATGTTTTGCTGTTTCTTTCCAGTTTTGTCTTGATTTTATTTTGTTTTCCGATATTTTTGCGTTTTTTTTAAAAATTTGGTCTTGAGTTTGCTCAAAAATTTGGTACAGTTTTTTTTCCACGTGTTTGTTCGGTATCCCTTATTAAGTGGCCTTCTATCTATGTCCTTTTCCAAGAATTAGCTTGCAAGCCCCTAGCTAACCCCAAACCCTATGGCTATCACTCGTGTTTGATGCTTAGCATTGCACTCTGCGAAGCCTAAGGTGGGGAACATGGTCGGAATGCTTGCCCTTGGCTGGTGGCTTCTGCCCCAGCACTTGTCCAGCTGATACTTGATTGGCAGTTAGTTGAGATTTGCTGAGTCGCAGTGAACAAGCTGGCATGCGTTCACAACAGAAGCGTTCCGAATTGCAGGTCCGAACCTCGCAACCCTCATGATTCATTGCGTCGTACGGCATAGTGATGACTGCAACTGAGGACGAAGTGCCGTGTCCACAGGTCGAGGATTTCATGCCAGATGGAACATACCTGGGCCTTGCGTCGCCCTCCAAGAAGTGTGCCGCCAGCCTGGTCGAGTGCCCTTGCCAATGCCTCAACCGATCTTAGCACCAGAAAATCCTAGGTCCGAGACGACCCGGCTTCCTCTTGCCTGTCTGACTGAGGTGGCAAGCAAGCCGAACGCTGCCCGGGAGCAGCGGGATGTATCAGCAAGAGCGAGGGCTGCCCGATCACCTGCAAAGCGGCGGAAAAGAAGTGCTACTCAGAAGACAACAGCAAAGCCTGAGTTTTTCCTTTTGTGATTAGTCCTTTAGCTGCCGCACGGAACTCTCTGTGATGCAGCAGCAGCCGCAGCCGCAGCAGCAGCCGCAGCAGCAGCGCAGCAGCTTCAGGAGGAGGAGGAGAAGGAGGAACAGGTGCCCGATGACTACAGTCAGCAAGGTAGCTGTTGAGGACGACTATTTCTGCTGCTATTCCACCTACATCCGGCATATCAAACGTCCGAGTCTTGACAGGCTATTTGACAGACTTCACAGACGGAGGCGACTTCATCAGCGATCGCGAGGTCTGCGTGATTTTGCCGCAGATAGTGGAAGTCAAAGGTGCAGGCGCAAATAGCATCACAACAGTTCAACAGCGACAGGACTCGGTTGTTCACGGTGATGCTCCGAACGTGCTGCCAAGATGAGGTCGCGGCCGATGCACTGTGCCCGTGCGGCAAGAACACGGTCAAATGCCCTGGCGAAGATGTGTGCTTGCCGAAGGATGTAGCCGATGTGATTTGCCCCTGCAAGGCGCGATATTGCAGCTCGAGCTAGCTTGACAGAGCTTCTGTGCGAGCGCCCGGCAATGCTCGCAGTACCCTCTGCCAGGAGTCCCAGACGACGTGCAGCGTCGTGGATTTCTCAACCACAGGCCAGGTCACCGGATTTTCGACCGCCTGCGTTGCACCGGGCAACCCTTGCCCCTGTGGCAAGAATTCCCTCAGCTGCTCGGATCCCAACGACGTGCCTCGACTGCGGTTCTACAATCCGGAACGCACTTTGTCGGCAACTCCGAAGCCCTGCCCGGCCCTGCCCTTTTAAATTGGTTGCGCAGAGGCCAAAGCGCTGATCTGCACATCGAAGTTCAGTGGAAAGCTCACGACCAGCTGCCCACGTCCTTGTACTCCAGAGGCCGAACAAGCAGGCGATGCTCTGTGATGGGAGTGGGGCGGTATCAGTGGAGTCGTCACAACCATCGCGCACTCGAGTAGCAAAACAAACGACAATGATAGAACAAGTGTCGCTTGCGGTCTTTTCTATGCGACATAAGAACAGCATGTCTCTCGAGGTTCAGGGTGCTGTACTTGTACTTCAGATTCGGACTGGGCAGGGCAGACATAAGGCCTTACTTCTTAGCTTCAAGATACATGTTTCAAATCTCAAACATATCTAATGGTTCTCTGAAAGGCAGCCAAATTTCCCGCGAAGGCAACAAGACTTGCATCCAGACCAATTTGGACAAGTCCGGCAACTTTGAATCCGAGACAGCTGCCCAACGGCACCAAGTCTTCCCACTGTTGCAAGCGGTTTGCAGTTGTGGCGAAGACGTCTGTTCGCACGTGGGCTGAGGTGAGCTGCTTGAAGGAAGGTTCTTGTAAGCCGGGGAAGAACATGAAGAGGTGTCCAACTGGAGCTGTAATTGCAAGTGCTCGTGCTTGCCAAGATTTGCCCCTTCCCAGCACGTGATGATTTCAACAGTGCGCCGATGCTGTTACAACCAAGTTGCTTCGCATTGGGACCGAGCGCACAAGCGGATGTGCTTTCTCCTACCCAGGTATGGCACTGGGGGCAAGAACACTACGGCTGTCAGTGAAAATCAGAAGCAGACTTCCAAAATTATCTTGACCTTGGAAAGCGCCACCCAGAATGCGGCTGCTAGGTGGGCATGTGCGTCCCCGTTGGGGTGGTTTTTGACAAGGGGTTTGGCTTGAGCATTGATTGCAGGATGCAGTTCTCTACAGGGCATCCTAGCATGAATGGCCCACCTTGGAATACTGACCACTCGAGAGTCCAAGTGGTTTTGATTTTGCAGAATCATCCTTGACAGAGGACTCTTACTGATACTGATCACATCAGTATATAGTGCTGATGGCAATGATGATGGCGATGACGAGATGGGGTTAAACAACCAATCAGGATCAGCAAGTTTACCCAGGCCATTTGTCGTCCACGGCCAACCCTGGACATAAGCCCCCAGCTGCCAAACCGCAACCCCTCTATGATGATGGTGCTGACTGTGATGATGACACGCCCAGTGTCCTAGTGCTGAGTCTTCAACGAATGACGAATGCTAGGAAAAAGAGTATGATTACAGTATGAGCGGTAATACTCGTGACGTCAGCATCATCAGCCTGCCGCCACCACTGCTGCCACTGCCGTCGTTGCTGCCACCACCATCGCGACAACTCACGAGCGCGACACCCGCCAAGATCACCACGATCACCACAATACGACCATGACAGGCACCACCAGCAGCACCAGCGCCACTGCCACCATAACCAGCATCATTACCTTCCTCGTTTTCAGTAGTCAGACACTGGTTTCGATTTAGGCGGCATGACCAATGCATCTCGTCATGGAAGCTTCCCAGCCCAGGTTGCAAATGCCGAAACAGCACGAGTGACCCTCAACAGTGCCACTTGGCAGCGCCTGTATCATTTGGCCATGGAGCCTCGGTAGCCTGAACCGAAAGTTAAGTTCCCTCAAACCCTAAACCCCGAAGCAGTGAACCCGAAGCTCCACTTTGCTGAGGTGTTGCAGTTGCCAGCAGGATTGACAACATCCGTTGCCGTGAAATCTGGCAGCGGGATCGGCAATGAGACTTTTTCGTGTTACTGTTGTGCTTCCGCTAGCTGTCGCGTTCGACGAGGGCATCGTTCTTGAGACAGGACACATACAAAACACGAAACAGTATCACACTTCAGGCGCGTCTGGCCGCCGGCTGTCAACATCCTCCACCAAACTTGTCTACACGGTCAGCAACACAGGACGCAGATTGTCATGATGCGTCTTCAAGCTACTCAAGGGGCAAGGTTGGAGTGCGACCTCCAGTCAGCTAGTTTCCGTTCAAGCAATCACTCATACCGGACATGCATTTCCACTGCGGCGCAGGAAGTACCGGTGTCGCCCCATCGGCAGTGGGAGAACGCTTGAAGAACATGGCGAAGAGTGGCAGCAAGGAGCTTGCATCTGTAGGGAGCCCAAGAGAATCTTCGCACCTCTCTACGAGCGTGCTTCAGCCGTGTGTGGATTTTCGGCCGCCATACTGATCGTGCTTTCATTACGGAGGCTACGTCAACCGTGGGCAAAGTCAATGCAAAGGCGTCGTTGTAAGCCTCTGCCATGGAATTCAACATGTGTGGAGTAGGTCTGGCCGCACGGGGCAGCCTCACGTCAACGCTCTTTCGTTTTGGAAGGCAGCCGTTCCTCTGGACACATCCGTCACCGCTCGCACTAGCCGGGCAAAAGCTGTGGAGGAGCAGCGGAAGCAGCAGGCACGAACAGCTCCGACTGCATTGCTTACAGCCACAGCTACTGCTCCCACACCAAGGCTGGAATAACCACGAGAACGACGACGACCACCACCACAACGACCACGCCACCAGTCGAAAACAGCATGGCTTTCGCTTTTTGCAGCGGAAGCGATGTTAAAGGTCGGGAGCATCGGGTACCACGACAACGACAACGACGCAAGTGAACAATGCCTCTCGCTTGGATCGGGCCATGCTCCGTTTCGAAGTGACTGCACCAGTCCTTCGATCCAAGCATTGCAGTGCTGTCCAAATGCAGTTCGCAGAAAGAGTTGAAAGAGACTCGCACAACTAAGGAGACCACTGAAACGACCGCAGGCTACACAGCTTCCACTAGGGGTTTGTTTGTGGTGGGCCATATGACGAAATATACACCGTATGCAGCTATCTGAACCGTAGAAGCGTACAGAGCACAGTATGTTACATCATGTCTGCTTTATGGACTAGTAAAGTGTAGGCCGTAGCACTGCTTCTTGCAGAGGTGGCGACGACAGCGCTCTGATCGACGGGAGCCTGCAAAGCATCTTGGCGGAAAGGACTTTCAATCGCCAAGCCACGGCTCCAATTTACTTCAGCCCTGAACCACACACCAACATCCTCGAGCCCTAAACCCCAACTTCAGCCTCAGCTCGGAGTTACACCCTGCAAAACTAAAGACCTAAGCTAGTCTTGCATCCCGATGGCGACCCCTGGGCCGGAAACGGTCTGGCAGACCTTTTGGTGACGTGTTTGCGTGCTTGCAGATCAACCCTGCTCCCTGGACTTCAATGTAGTGAGGCCCTTATGCGAACCCGAAACGCTTCTACCAATGACATCCCGAACTCCCCTCCGCCTCGAGTACTCAGGGCTTCGGGTTTGGATTTTTTGGGGGTTCCGAGCCTTGGGGAGCTGGGGCGCTTGAAAGGCCACTTGTCCCTCGTGGCCGTGATCTTCGCCTTCATCGCTCGAGCCTAGCCGGCCCTTGGATGACTGCAGAGCCGAAACGACTGGAAGAGTGCTTTGGGTAGACATAGGTCTCATAAGGCTGTGACGTGTTGCCTAAGGGCAGGGAAGCGAAAACTCGATTTCGGTTCTGACAGACTTCTGTTTACCGCCTGGGAGGGTTCCGCGGCTTTGGATGCGCAACCCTCTCTGAAATTATGCTGGGTGCATCAGTGCATAGGCATTGTTGCCACCACGTGGCTCCCCCAAAAGGGGAAAAGGGCATTTTCCCGGCCGCAAGGCCGAGCTAACGAGTCGCCTTGAGCAACTGAAGCTTCCCGCATCTATCCCAGGAAGGTGTCATCAACAAACCCAAAGCCTAATGCCGAATTTTCAGATCCCGGCAATCCTACCCGACCCTGGGACGATGTTGTGAGCCTTCGAGTCTCGAGGCAGATTTTTGGCATTTGACGACCTTGAAGTGGGAGTTGCTCTGCATCTTTTATCTGTGTTCGGGTGCTATCCGCCTATGGCACTGAACAGCTGCCGTCAGCCGGACTTGTGCCGGCATTGCAGAGGTAAAGGATGTGGTAGCTCATGGGTTCTGTGTATCACCTATTGCGATCCACGAGCCTCGAGTCGAATTTTATCAGAGGTCTTGTAGGTGCTCCGGCTGCTTAAAAGCCTCTGTTAGTGTACTTGTTTGGATCTAATTTTGCTTGCAAGCTTGATTCGATGACGACGTTTCTGTTGCAGTTCGGTCTGTGCTTTGTTTGGATGCCCTGGGTTCCCTTGGCATCAAAGCAATATTATCGTATCCTTCCTGCAGCGTTGCTGTTATTTCCACTGCTGTTGCAGCTAGTACGGCCATTGCCATGCCTGATGTTGCGTGCGTGAGTGCGTGTTCATATGCTAATACACATTGTAGTTTCATATTGCTTTAGTATGATGGCTTCCTTTTCACTCTCAGTAATCTGTCGGTATCATTGTCCTTATCACTATCTGTGCCCTTCGCCTGCCGCTCTCATCATCATTTGCTGCAGTTTGCACGGCTCATCCCTATGCGGCTGGTCTCCATGCTGCTTTGATTAGGAGGATGTGGCCCTATCGACTACCGTTGCGATCATCATATTACTTGCTTTTCTTTCGAGGGTCGCTCTGCGTCAGAACAACTCCCCCATGTGACGCGGCCACTGGTGCGGCGTCGTTGGCCGTAGTTGTTAGGAACAGGCTCAGAGCTCAGCCGCTTACCCGGTTGATACGGATTAGCCAACCCTACAACCTCGAGTTTGGACTTTGTGTCGCATGGCCGGGGCCTTTAAGGTGAGGGGCTTCAGAGTTTGGTGCGGTTGCAGCGCGAGCCGATCGAGAACGTGTCCACCTTCTGTGCAGATCTCTTCGCTAAAGAAAAGCGAGGCCGAGTGGTGAAGCATGCAAGCAACATCACATACACACACCGATGATTAGGCTCAACATTCGGCGATCTTATTTGTTGATCTTCGGTGCCGTTCGATTCAAGTTGTCAACAGACATGGTAAAGACAGTCCTGAGACACACAGTTCCAGATCGATAATACAGGATTCCATCGCTTCTGCAGATGATTACTACAACGATCTTTTTCAATGAAGGTTATGTTTGTGATAGTAGGGCAGGCTGTAACCAAAGTTGTCGCTCAGCCGCCAGCAACTCTGAGCCCAGCATAGAGTAGCTTCCTACTTCGTTGCCTCCGCTTTCGCCCTCGATGATATGTCTGACACAAGTTGGGGATGCCAAACCGTGGAGGCGCGGATTGTTCATGACTCCACTGCCAAAGATGGATGGGCTGAGTCGTTCGTGTGCAAGAGTTGTGCATTTTTTCTCAGGGCTTAGCTTCGGGGGTAAACCCTGAAGATGCGAGAAAGTCAGCTTTTCGCCTGTGTGGGTGATGTGAGGAGTGCGCCGTACCAACTTGGGAGCATGCCGCAGGCCTGTTGCTGTTCGTGGGATGGGGCGATGACGCAGTTAATGCTCAGTTCACGATTCTCTTTGCGGTGGTACCGTTGCAACTCAAGCACCAGATGCTCAAGTGAATGCGTGAGATGCCGAAGGCCAAGTCCTGGTGGCGGCATCCTCGACATGTTTCATGCCATGGCTTGGCTCTCCACGGCGCAAGGAAACTCCTTCCAATGCCTGCGTGAGGGAACACTGTCGTCTTACGTAACCTGAGCGCATGACCCTAAGCAGAAGCAGGCAGCTGTATGACGACCCACAACTTGTCACGTGCACGCGCTCTTCCTTCCCGAAATACGTGCACGATCTTTTCTGCCGATGACTCCTGCAGAACCCCACAAGCATCTGAGAATCCCTGTCCTGACTGCAGCCCAGTACCAGTGGTGCCTCTGAAATGCAATCGTGCCCTGGCGAAAACTGCCAGGCTGGCCTCTGGGTCGTCTTCATCTTCTTTGGCGGCCTCTACCTCGCAGTGCGGTGGAAAACCAATGCCTATCCGAGTTGTGTGGATTGTCAAAAGTATGTGGAAGTGCAACCTTGTGTTTCCTGCCTGCAACCGTTGGGCACTGCACATGTCGACATGTTAACTGGTGTTTCAGGTCTTTAAGTGTTGAAGCCTAGAGGTGAACCACCTCCTCCGGGCCCTGCTTGAAGTTGCCAGCATTGACGAAATCGAAACCCCAAATCCTCCAGCTCAGACTTCCACAACATCCCAGCATACCAGAATATGCCTGCCAAGTCCTGTGGACAACGTTGGCGCCGTTTATCGACTTTGACTTCCGCGGCACTTTCGGACGCTACCAGTTCGCTGGCAGAAAGATCCCAAAGGCCTAAAGTGTTGCCGTAGACCCATTCCGCAGGGCATTTGTCAAGTTCCCAGGTCTTGTGAGTGGACCCACATGTCAGACATCCAGATCGCATAGACCTGAACCCTGAAGCCTAAAAGCACCTGAACCCTGAATTGCAAAGCGTAAGGCTTGTGGACCCTGCGCCCGTTGAAAACAAAAAGCTGAGCTCCACATGGGGGTTTCCGAAAATAGGGGACCCTAATATGGTACCCTAAATAGGATCCTTATTATAAGGACCCCAAAATAAGGTACCCCTAATTTTTGGAAACTGCCATATCCGGGGCCCGAGGTACGGCCTGGCCTCGGCAGGGACCGGTGCTGGCTTATGCTTAACAGGCTTGAACTGCAGTGTTGTGATACAGTAACATGAGTACGTCCCAGCATTGTGGGATAGGGTGCGACGGTTGTGGGGGTTGTACTTCTAGCATTCGAACTTCTGTGTTCTAATTGCGTCGTTCGAGATTCCGCGCTTGGAAGCATTCTGGGAATAGGTGGTGCTATTGCCCTTCTCGACGGCATTGGCAATGCTATTGTAGAAGTAACATGTCTAGCAGCGGCTAGTGCTGCAAGCATGCTCTAAACCCGTTGTTGCTCTGGCAGTGGCGACGAGGAGTACTGCTTGCGGTGTTCACAGTACTTTACCTCCCGTCCCACTCAGAAGCCCCAAGCGCATTTTCGTTCCAGAATATTCACCTGCCGTAGGTGTCAATGAAGGCCTTTTCGATTCTCCAATAGTCGCGTTGAAATCTGGGAGGCTCAGATCCAGGGGGACGTAAAAAGCAGGCAATGCATTCAACGAGGTCGTTAAACTGGCGGGATCCAGAATCTCAAGGACGGAAATCCAGATACAGAGCTCAGAGATCGAGGGAGTGCTGGACGATAAGTAGCTCCCAGGCAATTCCAACTTAAATGTCGCCGCCCCAACACCATGTCCAAATCAGTTCTTACCCGATAGTTTCGGGTGCGAAGGTTCTTGAAGCAGATATCTGAATCAAAATACTGAACGCGAGGCATCTACATGCTGCAGAGTATCACCTTCGTACACCGCTCCATTGCCACAGCCCAGGACATGCAAAGAAGGGTTTCAAGTCAATTCTGCAGCGGAACGGTCTTTTACCAAGCTGCAGGCAAATGGGACGCAAGGCTCCAGTCTTGTTTATGAGGTACGGTGCAGGATCAACAGTCTTGAGGTAAGGAGGGTTCTGGGCTTTGGTTGCTTTCGCGGCGTTTATGGGTTGCGCACTTCTTGGGCCGAGAGTGGAGGTTTGCTTGCCGTACTCAGGCCCAAAGTCCGAGATTCCAGACTTCACGAGCTTAAGATTGTTGTGGAATGCAGTTTGCGGCTGAAGGTTTGGCGTTTGTGGCTATAGGGGTTTAGGCTTAGGGTCTTCTAATGTGCAATTTCTAAACTCTCGCTGCAGTTGCTGAGGTGGGCTTCGTCGATCCGCTGCTCCATGCCTTCGAGATGCTTGGTCAGCCCCTCAGAGTCTCCTGTCCAAACGTTGCAGATACCCTGAAACAAAGCCTTGTCACACTCTCTAGAGTACTTGGTGCCCTCTGATGGGTTTCTCCAGGCCAGTTTGGAGACGAGGTTCTAGCCCATGCGCCAAGAGCGTCGAAATGGTCTCAAGCAAGTAGCATTGAACGTTCCTTGGCAGTGTGCTGGCAACCGAAGGCACTCTGATCTCCCTGATCGATGTGGCCTCTCGATGGGCGTACGCAGGGTCCCCAGAGTCTGCTGCAAGGTCAGGTGTGGGGTTTAGGATTTTGGGCTCGTTGCGACAACCGCCGGAAGACATAACGACACAATCAACTGGTTATGCACGCATGAGCAAAATCGTAGTTGATTCGTGTGGAGGGTGTGAGCATGAGCAATTCTCTCTCTCTCTCTCTCCCTCTGTCTCTCTCGTTACATACATGGAGACAGATGTGTGCATATACATATATACAGTCAAGGTCCTTAGTCGCATCGATTTCATGTGGATCCTTGCAGACACTCGGGGGAAGGGTCCAGGGAGGGTCGCATCAACTCTTCCTAAAATAGCGTCCGCACTCGGGGAAAGCAGTTCGAAACCAGTCCTGGCATGTATCCCTTGAGAGGGTGTGTATTGCCTGCAATAGCATCCACACTCGGGGGATTCAGTTCGAAACCAGTCCTGGCATGTATCCCTTGAGAGGTTGTTTCTTGCCTGCAAAGCTATTTTGGCTTTGTTCCGATCGCTGGGTGATTGGGACAACAAGCGGAACCCGCAACCCCTGGTTCAACCGATAAAACTTCGCCTTGGAACCTTACCTGTTGTGGATCCCGATACGCCCCCAGACCCGAAACCTGGAAAGTAGGGCTTTGATTGTTACTCCGACCTGTTGAAGTCGTAGCCGCGTCCTGTCGATCACGCCAGTAGATGGGGGGGAAGGTGCCGGGGAAGTCGTGTCAACCTAGCGTTTACATGGGGTTTTGCTGGTCGCCTTCTATACGAAGTAACCCGGATACAGGGATTTGCTGAACAACGATCCCTGTGAAATCGAGCGTTTACATGGGGAATGGCTATTCTGATGTGCTGTTTCGCTGGTCGGCTTCCATACGAAATACTCCGAATACAGGGATTTGCTGAACAACGATCCTTGTGAAATCGAGCGTTTACATGGGGAATGGCTATTCTGATGTGCTGTTTCACGGGTCGCCTTCTATACGAGGTAACCCGGATACAGGGAATTGCTGAATAACGATCCTTGTGAAATTGAGCGTTTACATGGGGAATTGCTATTCTGATGTGCTGTTTCGCTCGTTGGCTTCCATACGAAATACTCCGAATACAGGGATTTGTGAAATCGAGCGTTTACATCGGAGAATGGCTATTCTGATGTGCCATACGAAAAACTCCGAATACAGGGGATGGCTGAGCAACGATCCTTGTGAAATCGAGCGTTTATATGGGGAATGGCTGTTCTGGTGTGCTGTTTCGCTGTTCGGCTTCTATACGAAGTAACCCGAATACCGGGATTTGCTGAACAACAATCCTTGTGAAATAGAGCGTTTACAAGGGGAATGGCTGTTCTGATGGGTTGTCTCGCTGCTCGGCTTCAAAGTCTAAAGTAGCCCGCATATAGGGTTTTGCTGAACATCGATCCTTGTGAAATCGAACGATTACATGGGGGATGGCAAATCTTGGAACTTGGATCTTGGATCCGGGCCGGCGCCCGAATCAAAATGATTCAGAAATGATTCGGATGATTCGGGGGGGGGGTCCTGGATCCAAGATTGTCCACACCAGACCCCTCAGAAATCTTGGAT